GGGACTGGGGGGTGGGGGATGGGAAGGGGGCGGGGGATGGGGATGGGGAGGGAATGGGGGGCAGGCCCTGGGGGGCGGGAAGGAAATGGGGGGCGGGGGATGTGAAGGGACTGGGGGGCGGGGGATGGGAAGGGTTCTGTCTGATCTCTGTGCCCAGACCTGCACTGCTCCCACCAGCTCTGCAGTGTGCCCAGCGGGGCCCGGTCTCTCTCCTCCCCAGGCGGGGTGTGGGGGGTGCCTCGTGCCTGGGGCTGGTGCCCAGCGGAGGGGCAGCTGTAGAGCCCAGGGCAGGGGGTCCCTGGTACCCGGCCTCAGCCTTTGGCAGCATCCTCCAGCCGTTGGGGGCGCGTCCTTTGCCACGGGCTTTAGACCCTGTGCTGAGCTTTCCCTCTGCACCCCGTGCATCTCTGTGGGGCAGGTAATTGGAGGCCCGGCCCCTACCCCAGGTGCCAGGAAGTTATCACCAGCCCTGTAGTGCTGGCTGAGCTCCCTGGCCCCCAGTGCTGATACACCAGTCTACGGACCAGCAGCGCCCTCTCTGTGAGGGAGGGCAGGGAGTGCCCATGGCTGGGGCGTGCGGTGCCGTGCTCCGAGCCTGGCCAACCCGCGCTGGGCCAGTGCCGCCGGGGGGGCGGTGCCGTGCTCCGGGGCCTGGCCGAGCCGCGCTGGGCCAGTGCCGCCGGGGGGTGGGGGCGGTGCCGTGCCGTGCTCCGGGGCCTGGCAGAGCCACGCTGGGCCAGTGCCGCCAGGGGGCGGGGCGGTGCCGTGCTCCGGGGCCTGGCAGAGCCGCGCTGGGCCCGGGCCGCCGGGGGGGGGGGGGCGGTGCCGTGCTCCGGGGCCTGGCAGAGCCGCGTTGTGCTGAGTGCTGTTTCTCCTTCTGCCCCGGGCTGCAGTCTTCCAGACTGGCATGGTGGGTTACCCCGAAGCCTTGACAGACCCTTCCTACAAATCCCAGATCCTGGTGCTGACCTACCCTCTGATTGGGAACTATGGTGTCCCACGGGATGAGCCTGACCAGTACGGCCTCAGCAGGGTGAGTGCAGGGCCGGGGGTGGGGGTGGTTGGCACCTGGGGACCGCTGCAGGCGCCCGGACGAAGCTGCGGGGAGGGTGAAAGTCGCTGAGGGCCGGGCAGCGGGTGGGAGCTGCGCCCAGAGACCCTGGGCAGACCAGTCCTGATTCCCACGGGGGCTCCGTGGACCTGCACAGGCGATATCCTCTGCGCTGAGTGGTGGGGCTGTGGCTGGCGAGGCCCCAGACTCTCCCAGGACAGACAGAGGTGGCTAGCGGGGGAGAGATGCTGGGGCCCCTGAGCCCGGCGGGTGGGGCTTGTGGGCACTCGGGGCACAGAGCTGCCTGCTCCCCAGGGAACGGCCGGGGCCCCGGGGAACGGCCGTGCCGTATCCTGTGAGGTGCCTGCCTGGAATGTGCCGCCCCAGGCAGCCCAAGTCCCCGCCCACAGCTGTTTGCCTTGGCACCCTCTGCCTTGGGCGCCGTCTGCCGGGCAGCTAGGGAGCAACAGCAGGGCCCTGCCCGTCTCCCATGAGGCCAGCGAGACGGAACACTGGCCTGGGGCCGCCCCGCACCCAGAGTGCCCTCTGGCAGGGGGCTGGGGCCGGCCTGCATCTCCGTAAGGCGCCAGGCCTGGGCAGGGGTTCCCAGAGGCTGCCATGGCCAGTGCAGGGGCGGGCGTGGGGGAGCTGTCTTCTCCCTCCCCGGGGCACTCGCTCCCGCTGATGGCCCAGCCTGGGGGTCCCTGGGAGGTGGAGTGGGACCCGTGGGGGCAGCCCCCTGCATGCTTGGGCATTGGCTGGGGTCCCACGGAGCTCGCCCTGGCACCTGCCCGGCTCACCCCTCTCTGTGCCCGCAGTGGTTCGAGTCCAGCAAGATCCACGTGTCGGCGCTGATCGTGGGCGAGTGCTCGCAGATCCCCAGCCACTGGAGCGCCGTGCGCTCGCTGGACCAGTGGCTGAAGGAGCAGAACATTCCCGG